TTCTTTCTCATAACAGGTCCGTGCAGTCGTCTCAGACTTTGCCATCTTAATAAGTATAATGATAATGGTTGGTGTAGACCTTGCATTTGGTGTCAACACACCAAAGCTTGATATTCCATTGAAATTCCAACCCACAAATGCCGAGGAGAGGGGATGGGTGATCCCTCCACTGGGCAAGAACCCTGTGTGGACGATTCCGGCCGCAGCCATCCCAGCGTTACTTGCAACTATTTTAGTTTTCATGGATCAACAGATCACGGCTCTGATCGTGAACAGAAGAGAACATAAACTTAAGGTACGCCTTGTACAGTACGATGCTTGTATGTTACCTGTTCATTTTCTCTGTATGTTAGCCAAGATGGCACATGTATCTGATATCAGCCTTTTTCTTGTGTTGTGCAGGGTATCTTTCAGTATAGCATTGAGATTTGTTGATGGAGCAGCAGGGGAGGGTCATGTGTCAATGTGTGTGAATCCCAGTTGGATAAACACTCAGGTTCATAAAGTAACTGTGTAAGAAGATAGTTAATCACACAGGATGGAATCAATGTGCTAATGTAATCATGGTTTTCCTCTGCAGAAAGGAGCTGGTTACCATCTTGATCTCCTACTTGTAGCCATCATCATTGGTATCTGTTCATTGCTGGGTTTGCCGTGGGTAGTTGCCGCAACTGTTTTGTCAGTTGGTCATGTACAGAGCTTGTTTGTTGAGTCTCAATGCACAGCGCCTGGAGAGAAAGCTAAATTTCTTGGTGTAAGGTGCGTTGATTAAAATTCCTTTTTTTGACCCCATTTTTCTATAATATGTTGATTTAATATATCAAACATGAAAGGCCGTGTTTGACTACATTTCCAAACACTGAGAAAAGAGTTGAAAATACAACGCTTAGCAGAGTAATTTTGATGGAACTTCAAGGTGTTTGGAAATGTGGTCAAACACTGTCTTGATTGTTTGATAAATCTTCTCAATCGAAACTAAAACTAAGGAGAAAACAGAGAAATGAAATCATAAAAATGTATGCTAATTAAGATCAGGTATCCAAACACGTTCACGGTCATGATTTCCTTTGTTTAAACTTGATGAATTGATAATGAGTTTGAGAACATTTTTCAAATTTATGATACATGTACAACTTTTTCATCGCTGTAAGAGGCAAGAATCAACCACTTTTATCATAGCTCAGATTTCAGATTTTTTATTGTTTTGCACTATTTACATTAATTTTTTTTAACAATCGATCCATAAATAAATATTACATAATATTAACAACAAGAACACAGAAAAAAAATTACAATGTAGCTAAGCTATGTTCTAGTGGGTGACAAAACTCACTCACAATTTAGAAACTTCCAATTGACATGCACATGTAACTAGATCTATTATTCATCTCACAGGGAACAGCGTGTTACAGGAACCATGATTTTTATCTTGATTGGTTTAACTGTGTTCATGTCTCCAATCTTAAAGGTTTGTATTATCAAATTATTCACTGTTGTTAAACATTTGTTATATTCTTTGTTGTGCAACTGATGTCATAAATCCATGACGATGATGATGATAATGCATTCTCTTCACAGTTTGTACCAATGCCTGTTCTTTTCGGCCTCTTCTTCTATATGGGAGTTTCCGCACTCAAAGGATTGCAGGTAAGCACTGTTACACTAGGTTCCTTTGAAGTAGTAGTTAAGTTTCTATCAAAGAGGAAGAGTTAACTTGAATTATTTTGGTCGCTCTTTGACCATCCAGGTAAACTCTCCATATATGCAGGCATCTGTGTGTGGATAGTGTGCAGTATGTAAAGTTAAATTTCTTGTAGACCATGCCTGTGAACAGTAGATGGGTGTCCATGTAGATTCGCAGTAATTACATCCTCAGTGGCAGTACAGAATATTTAATAATCCCTTGTATTTTGAGGTAAAATCTGATTCGCTGTGTGTTCTATCTAACAGTTCTTTGAGAGATTAAAGATCATTTTCATGCCAATCAAGCACCAGCCTGATCTGATGTATTTGCGCCAAGTCCCGGTCAACAGAATCCATATCTTCACATTGATTCAGTTGTTTTGTTTGGGTGTACTGTGGCTCATCAAGTCCACTGACGCTGCCTTAATCTTCCCTGTTATGGTTGGTACTGTTTTGTTGTTACATGTAACATAGTTTTTAGATCTCCCATTGTGTGGGCATATTTAGACTTAAGAGACCTTTTGAAGTGGAAATGGGGCTTTATTAGGAAAAAAGCTCTTACTAGATTTTAAACGTGATTGTAAATTGTAACATTTTGCAGTGAAATTCCAATTTTTGGAAACACCAAGGGAAACAAACATTTGAATAAAATATCAGGTTGTTCGAAAAATCAGGAGTAAAATTACAGTGTTTAATTTAGGACAGTGAAACAACTTTTTCTTCCAAGTTATCAGGAAAGTTGAAAAATAGAAATTAAAATCAGGATTTCACTGTTTTTTAAATGGAATTTGTCAACACTTTCTGAAGAAATCTCTCTTAACATACAGGTGTTGATGTTGGTCGCTGTTCGCAAAGTGATGGAGAAAGTTTTCACTCTTCATGAGCTTGAAGTTTTAGATGATTTAATGCCGGAGAGCATTAAGAAGAAAAAAGCAGAAGCATTGCATAAAAAGGATGATGACTACGAGTATGATGAAGATGATGATGAGTGTTGCCATCACGACGATATAGATGGCAAGAAGGTAAAGGCACATGTGCACTAGAATGGGTGTGCCACACCCATAAAGATAGGTACTGTAATTAATACCGAGTTCATAGGATCGCAATGTGAACAAAGAGCAATGTATGCAGTGCCCTCCACACGCAGTGAGTGCCTGTAATGTTTCTAGTTACCATTTTCTGTTTCTCGGAAACGTGCACCTCTCAACTTTAAAATCAAAAGTTGTTCTCTGTTTTCCAGGAATTTTTCTGAGGCTAAAACTGATTTTAAAAACTAATGTTTTGGGAAGTTTGACTTTCCTTCTTCAGAAATTGAAGAAAAAAAAACCGTAAAGTCAATATGGCAGAGTGATGTATTTCTTTGCTTTGTAACCACTCCTTGGGGCATCTCATGACAGTTACATGAAACAAAAGTCATTGTGAAAATGCACGGCAAATGTGGCTAAAAGACACATCAAGAAAATGACACGAATATGAGATATCACGGTCACTATTTCCATCTTTGCCTATGGTCCTTTCATTAAGACCATTTTAGTAACCATCTTTCTTGACTCATTGAGAGGCATGGTAGTCTCATGGTTAGTGCAGGTGTATAAATGGGTACCAACAAACGTAATGCTTGGGGTAACCCTGCGATGGACTAGCATCCCATCCAGGGGGGAGTAGAAATTCTCTCAGTCGTTTCATGCTACAGAAACCGGAATAAGCTCCAGCCTGTTGGGCCACTTGGCTCGTATACAGACTTAACCTTTACCATCTTGACTTATACATGATTTCCCTGTTCAGGAACTAGTTGATGGTAAAGAACTCACTGAAGGGAAAGAACTGAATGGTAAAGCAAATTGTGAAGTTCCCTTCAACATGTCAGAAGAGATGTGCAAGACCGGACTGTGGAAAACGTTTGTGAAGGATGGATCAAGGACCAAGCCAGAGCACAGGAAAGGCAAATCAGGCGACAAACACAAGCATAAACATAAACACCATCACAGCCACAAAAATAGACACAATCGGCACAAGAAAGACCGCGAAGAACGTAAAGAAGACGAGGGATTATGGATGCTTGGTAAAAAGACTGAGGGTGATGATGATGACGAAGGAAGCGACGAAGGAAGCGACGCAGAACTACAAAGAAAACTTTCGACCATTAACGAGGACAAGGCTGATGTTGTGATTGACATGGGGCAGATTCAGAAATCTCTTCTGGAGCAGACTGATAATGGTGATGTTCCGATGGTCGGTGAAGGCAACAAGGAAAGTGACAAGCCAGCGGGTACTGCTGAAGATGTTGTCTGAAGTGTTTAGAGGGTAATCATCCTTAATAATATGAGCCAGGTAACAACACTGTATCCATACATGTAAATGAAGCAGTGTTTGTTTTTATACTCATCAGTAAGAACCCTGTTGTATGTAATTAAATTCTTTGGTAGTAATTATAGTTTTAAAAATATACATGATAACTCGCCTTAAAACCAGTTTTCAAAATTGAACTTTCTCCACTCAGACATGATCATATGATGTCACTACATTGTAGCTATTGAATTTTTTTAATAAATAGTGTTATGTAGACGTGTAACAGTAAACAGCCAAAGATTGTTTTTCTGCAGTTTTGGATGAACTGTGTGGCAAAAATGATGGAATAGGCAATTAAAACACTTCCGAATATAAGAAATAGGTTGCATCTGAAAACATTACCGCATTCTGTTCTTAGAGATGGAGTTTAACAGTGGTAAAAGAGTAAATTATATTCTAAGACATTGGCAACTTTTTTATGTTATCTTGTCTGAGAGGAAATGGTATCTTAAAAATATAACCATGCTTATACTTAGGCAGGTATGTTAAATGGTAATTGTGATAATTAATTCAAGGTGATATAGTTGGCATTCAGAATGCTTGATTGGTCGTTACGTTTCAGCATAATTTTCTTGAAGGTAGATGTAAACAACCATGTAGATAGTCCATGTAGGTTTGGATTTATTAGATTTACGTAAAAACAATTTTTTTTCCTCATTTGTGGTTAATCGCATAAGAAGAAAAGCTAACTTCTCGTTTATAATTAGAAAACAGGCCAGTAAAAAAAGGTCCAAAAAATGAATAAAACCAACGTAATGTAGTTTTTATTCAAACTTGTGTAGCACAGAGAAAAATGGTATCATTTCGTGGTTTCTGCTGTGTTAAAATAAATTTCAGTATTTTTGTATTTTTAGTAAGGCAAAAACGGGGGCAGGCCCTCTCATAAATGGTTTCATTTCTTCGCTGATCGCTTCCAGGCATCATTTGGCTGGTCACGCAAGGCTTTTCGAAGGGAGGATTGCGTGACAGCCCAAAATATGGCAAAGGTAATGGTATCAATGTAAGTGGCTTCACTTCCCTTTGAGTTTGTGTAAGTTACACAGTTGGAGTGAAGTGAAAGCCAAGAATTCAAGTAAAAAGTTTAAAAAATAAATCTATAGATTTCAAATACACCCTTTTTGACACTAGCTTAATCAATGTGGGACACATTTCCAACAATCTTGTATTTGCAAATTTGGAGAGAAGTTATTTATTCCAACTTTACACAGCAATTTAGAAGCAGATATCACTTTTGTAACACTACATTGTACGCAGTTTGTCTGTTTCTAAATCAGTCCTTTTTGGCATTTGAATTTCCAACGGCTTTTTCGAAACATCCTTAATATTTTACTGTACGTGTTGGAGTAATTTTTATGAAATCAAAACATCTGTACATCAGGCAGACATAATTTGGTGTATCCATGTGATAATTTGCATTTCAGTTCTTTATGCTCGAAGTGGTACCTTCTTGTATAACATAGTAATTTTGTCATTCAAGAAGGTAGATAACATAATTGAGATTTTGCCCGAAATATGAATTATTTATGTCTCGGGTAAAATCTCAATCATGTAATCTATGGGGACGTTGAAAACATTGTAAGTCTGTAAGTTTCATTTTATTTCATTATGAACAGTGAAGGGTGATGGACTAAGGCCAAAGGTATATATGTTGTGGTTTAAGTTTGCTTTATAAATTTCAATATTTTAATCAGTTTTATTTTTATTTTCCTATGCTTGCGAGCGCAGTAACGATTATGACAGATAAATGAAAGTAATTATTGGCCTGAAAACCGTCAAACCAAAATCAAATTTCAACCACAATGTGTAAACTGGATTTTTAAATACCTATGTACAAAGTAAATCAAGTTGTGAAAATTAAGTATTTATAGCACAAAACACT